AGAGGGAGAGTGAGGGGGGCAGGGCCAGAGACAGAGAAACATAGAAAGACAAAGGCAGAGGTAGACAGTTAAACAGCCAGCCAGACAGACAGACAGGCAGACAGACATGCAGACATACATACATACATACATACAGACAGACAGACAGACAGACAGACAGACAGACAGACAGACAGACAGACAAACAGACAGACAGACAGACAGACAGACAGACAGACAATATATCTTGACAGACGAAAAATTAGACCGACAAAGAATAAAAAGAGGAAAGAAACTTCCCGAAGAACCCTCAATAATAATATTGATAATAGAAGAGATAGGTTAAGTTCAACTCACATGTCGTAGCCACTTTATACAGCGCTCTGTGGGGCTGGTCGGACGAGTCCCCTGTGGGAAGGTAAAGGTTGGGTTAAAAGTCTGAGCACAGTAGCAGAAACATTTTTTTTTCACAATAATGATAATAAGATGATGATGTTTGGGGTGGTGGAGGTGGGTGTGGTGATGATGATGATGATGATGATGATGATGATGATGATGGTGATGTCTTCTTCTTCTTCTTTTTCTTTTTCTTCTACTTCTCCTACTTTTTCTCCTCCTCCTCCTCCTCCCACTCCTCCTCCTCCTCCTCCTCAGTAAGTTAATGTGGGTGTTTGGGGAGTGCTTCTTGTGTGGTTGGCTTCTTCTTCTTCTTCTTCTTCTCCTTCTTTCTCCATCGACATCTGTGGTGAAGTAAGGTGCCTTACCATCGATTGCAGAAGACGTGAGTTCGATTCCCATTTGGGGAATTATGTTTATCGAGTACCCTTGTCTGCATGCCGAAACAAGACGTCCCTTTCAGCTCTTGCTCGCTCTGACAGGCAGGGTTGAAACAGCGTGCCTCCTAAATGATCTAAACTGTGTTGATTGGCGCCTTAAAACATCAACATAAAAATTTGCCCCCACCCCTCCCCCCATTCCTTCCAAGACTCTAATATTGAAAAACCAAAGACAGTTTAAACCTGAAATAGAAAAACAGCGCTAATCCGTGACAGATATACACAGCAGGTCACTTTGATTCCAGAAACCTTCAACAGAGAACTGTGAAAATGGGCTATTATTGACTTTCTGCTTCACAGCAGATAAAAATAACACTGGCCTAAATCTAGAAAGATCTCGCCTGGAGTTGGAAAACTCATTTTAGCAACTAATCCAAAGCTAGCAATCAGCAGTCGCCATCTTGAGAAGCTCATAGAGAGTCTTGGATGTCTGTCTGGGCAATTCTTGCCTCACTGATATATATATATATACATATATATATATATATATATATATATATATATATATATATATATATATATATATATATATATATATAATTATTATTATTATTATTATTTTATATATATATATATTCTTCACTGACATTTTGTAAAAAGATGTTGGTGGCGAATGCACAGAATGATGATGATGATGATGATGATGATGATGATGATCATCGTGAAATATATATTTTTTGGGGAAATACAACAAGGTCTTAACTGTTTTAATACCTTCTTTATACAATGATGATGATGATGATGATGATGATGATGATGATGATGATGATGATGATGATGATGATGATGATGATGATGATGATGATGATGATGATGATGATGATGATGATGATGATGATGTTGTTGTTGTTGATGATGATGATGATGATGATGATGATGATGATGATGATGATGATGATGATGATGATGATGATGATGATGATGATATTGTTGTTGTTGTTGTTGTTGATGATGGTGATGATGATGATGATGATGATGATGATGATGATGATGATGATGATGATGATGATGATGATTTTAATGCAACCCTATTACATCTTTAAAATGCTTATGATATGGTCTATCTATCTAGATTGCTGTTCCAGTATAGCTCCCTCATTCCAGTCTAGACCTAGATACATTACCACCCGGTACTAAAATACCATTATCACGATGCCGAGAACCCACAAACCAAAGCCTGATGCGCGGCAGTATAATAAAGATATTGAGCTGAAACTTTTAACGCTTCATTCTCCACTGAGCGTATTTTGGGGTACCATACTGATAACTGGATGCCCTAAAAAATAGTAATAATAATATATAACATTTATATAGCGCATTTCCAAAACCGTAACTCAATGCGCTTTACATTGGAATATTCATTTTCAAAACCTTTAGTCAAAACAAGCGTAAGATGCTATTTCGAAAGGTCTTAGTCACCTCAGGGTGGGGATTACTAATACCCTGTTGTTTGATAAGAGAGATTTAGTAAGGTAGTTTTGTCACCCCACAGCGGGGTGACTGAGACCAACGCCTAAAACACGCAATATCTATAGAAATAGCAGATTGTATCTGTTATATGCATATGACGAACGCTATCAGACCTCCCAATCGAGTTCACAAAGATTGATATTGGATTGACAATAATAGCTTGTACAAAGGGTGGTCTTAGTCACCCGGGCTGACATGATGGACTGAAATGGAACGAGCCCCCCCCCCCAAAAAAAAAACAAAA